ACTGCTGTCTCAGCTCGAACGCAAATTATTTTGCGCCGCACTCGGTGAAGTTCAAGAAGAAGATAACGCTGACCCAATTCGGAATTGTTCGGATCGCTCGAATATAGGATATTCAATTGTGCTTCCGACTTCGCCGCCGCTCATTCGAGAATTTAAGAGAAAATTGCTTCTTCGTTGTAATCGTTGGAACGATTCGACTCGGTATCTTGATAGTTGAGAGAACCACTCGGTGGTTCTGCAACGTTCTACGTAAAAAAAAAAGAAAGAGAGAAAAATATTCATACGGGTGATTTAACAGCAATGAGGTCGCGCGCGCGCGTCGGACTCTGGCGTGATGCGCCATTTGGTATGAAAAAAAGGGACAAGTTGTTACGAATGCTGTAGGGCCGCCTTTTCTCATTGTCAGATAAAAATGCGACTGACATGGTAATAAGACATATTTCATTGCCGACATCTGGTCACATGTGCGAGCGTCATTATTCAGAAAGTCTGCTAAAAACTGCCATCTAGAAGCGTGTCGCGCGGCCGCGGCAACTGCGATCCGAAATTGCCATGTACAGTGGTTGTCCTGAAGAGGCTAACAGCGAAATTCCGGCAATCCTTTCTCGCGAGATGACAGCGACGCGCGATGCAAATAGACGACCGCGCGCCGTGTGTCGGTGTATGCGGGGAGGGGGGCGCGGGGTACACTCAGTATATCTGATAAGTGGAGTGGTTTCTCGCGGCAGAAAAAAAAGAGGCGGGCGCGAAACCATAATCATAAATTAGGTTAAAGTGCTAGGGAAGCGCTTAGTAACCCCGACCCGCTCTAGGCGGCCGGAGTTAGCTCGTGAGGAGTCCGCGGATAACTCCACAACCTCGCCCTCTGCCGCCACCGTCGCCGCCATGTCTGCCCTGCGCAAAACAGGGCAAAAATATAGTCCCGAGCGCGAAGCGGCTGCCGAGCAAAAAGAACACCGGCGATCGCGTTACCGCGCACGAAAGTACTTCCATGTTTAAGCACGAGGGGAGAAATTTCGCGTCTCCGTGGAGCTAATTAATAGGGACGCCAAATACGCGAGTCCCCGTGGAAACCGGGGAATCCCCGGTTGTTTGGGATCCCCAATAAGAAAGGCACGCGAAGAAGATCTGCTCCGCTAGCTTCTCCCAGCGACTGCCATGGGATTCTTAAACCCGAATTAGAATCCACTTCTTGCTCACGTAGTCGTGGAGCGCTGGATCTCCAAATGCGCAAGTTCAGAATTACTTGAACCTTCGGAATTTTTGTCGATCAGGAAGAGAGTCCGAGGAGTTGATGTTTGCCTGAATTTTTGCATTCCCAAATTGTCGCTCGTCCGAGAGTTTCGCGACCTCTGAGGTTCTTAGCTCCCCCAGCTTCTTGAGTTCCTGAAGTTATACTTGACGTCGAAAGTACGTAACTGCCTCAGATACCGTGTTTATTTAACAATTAAAACTCTTGCTGCAGGCTTCCTGAGACCTGGGATTAGGGACGAAGCAGCGAGCAACTTCGGTCTGTTGGATCAAATAGCGGCTTTGCTTTGGCTACGGGAAAACATCGCGGAGTTTGGAGGCGATCCTAACAGCGTCACTTTAGTCGGTCACGGGAATGGAGCCATCTTCGCTAATCTACTCCTAATCAGCCCGGTTGCCAATAAGAAAGGTAAAAGAAACATATGTACAGTCCGAGGTAACCCGACCCGACCGGCACGATTCTATACGATTCATTTTCCACTCTCTGTGCTCTTGGCAATCGGCTTTTGTTCACTTTTGCCAGTCCTTTTGGAGAAAACAGGATCCCCTCGAAACGTCTACTCGTAACGATTTTCATACGCAAGAATCGAAAGACGATACATAATCCAAACTAATCCCTTCCCTCGCTGTAATTGGAAACATTATCCGCAGTTATAGGGGACGAACAGCGATCGCATACAGAGATTGTGATTTCCGAGGCGGCGGGAGATAATCGCGGGATTAATTGGACGAATCAGGGCGAGAGAGATAGGCATACGCGCATTTGCATCAAACGCAATACCACCACTGTTGTACGGCGGTGACAACAGTACGGTGTGTGCTCTTGAACCTGATTCATTGAAGATCAAGAAACTCCTCTCGGATTAGCCCACGAAGAGGAAAACCCGTGTTTTTCCTGCAATTTTTAATTCCTTGTTTGCATATTCCAATTTGCAAAGAAAATTTGCGGAACTCTCAACGACAAAAAAAATGTTAAATACACGAGTACATTCTTTGATGTGATTTGCGAAATTAAAGACTTTTTTTTTCTTTCTTTAAACGAGTTGGATAATAGTTATCAGAAAATAAGTGTAAAAATGTTTCTCTAAAATTTCAAAAATTCTCTCTAGTGAATAGTTAAATTTTGATAATTATTGGATCGTTGTCATACTCATCTATCTATCAACTTCAATGATTGTCTTCGCGTTTTTCCTTGTCCGAAGCACTTGCGAACACTTGCATTGTGATATTTTCGAGTTTGACAAGAGGTTAAGAATCACTAGTCTACACGTGTTCGACGGTGCACACATCGACCGTGAGCACTCAAGCACTCTCGGGTGCCCGCTGGCGCTCGGCAGGGTCAGTGAGAACGGGCGAAAGCAAGAAAGGAGACGTCGACCATTTTTCACCCGGCCGGCTCGCAATGGCGGCCGGGAAAAGGAGCTTTTCTCTTCCGGCCGAGCGCACAATGCCGCCGCGTCCGGCCAATAATTATATTGTGCAATGAAAAATAACCGGACTTAATATTTTACACGTCGGGACAGGTGCCTGGCCATGCCATGCGAAGGTTCTCAAGCAACGGTGCCATTTTATATTTACGCCCAACAGGCCCTTGCTTCCAGCGGCTGTTGAATCAGGATTAGGAAATGATAAATACGATATTTTTCTTATCAAGGCAGAGTGTTGTCCCTCTGATGAATTGTGTGTTCCGAGCAGCGCTGGAAATGATAATGGATTTCCCTTAAGCCCTTAATTCGCGCAATCTGATCATTCCTCAAATGTTTAATTCCGGCCGCGAAAATTATTCGTGCACGAGGCAGCGTGAAAGGGATCATTTTTAACTCGAGCACCTTTATCCTCCAGACCCTCCGAAGAAGTTTGAGAACTGCTGGACCGTGTCGAATAGCTAAGTTATTAATCACCTGTCGCACCACCATTTTGTTGGCGCAGGTTTGTTCAAACGAGCTATCCTGATGTCCGGATCGGCGATGAGCGCAGACGCCATCGGTAAGGCGCCCTTGCAGATAACCAAACAGGTAAAAAAAGAAGGACGCTACTGCATGATAATAGTTGCGAATAAAAACGCGAGATGAGAATTGATGCGTTTGAATTTCGCGGAATTTTTGAGTTGCGCGGAATGACAAATCACTGCGGCATCTATTACTATTAATACCTGCAGTTGATCCTCCCTTTTAGAATTCAAAAGCTTTTTATGTACCCCGACCTTTTCGCCGAATTTTTAAAGCTCCGAATCATTGCACACTCGGTGTCTCAAAACTTTGGATCCTTTTACATCTGGATTTGTCGATCTCTCTCTACGTTTCTAATTTTGATGTACAATTTTGGTGCATCTTTGAAGTACTAACGTCATCCCAGTTATGAAAAACAAGAAAAGTACATGTTAAAAAGTTATAAATTATGAAATTCTTAACTCCATAATGCTAAAAATTATAGAATACCCGGTCTGTAAAGTCGTGGATCCTTGCCCATATAAACTCTCGATTGTTGGATCCGTCATATTTCCAGCGGTCTGCCCGCGCAAGCTTCGATTTTCGGGTTTTTAGATTCCCTCAACTGTCGGGATTCCCATATATCCGCATTTACCGTGAACTCCGAGAGTTCCGTTATAACGAAGCCGGCGTTTATCACGGTTTTTATTTCTCATGCGCGGGCAACGTATGTTTCACAAACGGCGGCGTCGTGTTTCTGTCCTGCTTGCAATTTGAATTCGACGGGAAGAAATATCGTTGCTCGTCACGGCGAAGAAACGTTACACAGTTACATCGATGCCGTGGTGGAATGAGACTCGCGAGCGGGTGACGGGAAGGGGTAGGAGAGGGTTGGCCGCGTTCATTGCGCTCGTGAGCAATGGCGAGGATCGTTTTTCAGGTGGCGCACGCTCTCAACTGTCCCACCACCAACGACAGAGAGCTGGCTGGATGCTTGCGTAACCAGGACGTAGACACGTTGCTACGCGTGAAAATCCACAAGCCGAAATACGTGCCGGCTTACGCGCCGCTAATCGACCGCGCTGTTATCCCTGACAAGCCGTTCAATTTAATGGAGAACGTCCAACTCTTTGGCAGGTACGATTTGGAGTTTCCTCTGCCGAGCGATGCTGGAAACAATGTTGTTTGGCCCGATCGTTCCTGCACATAGACTTTGTAATCTCGAACGGACTTGGTGAATAACGCTGAATTGCACAAAAGCGATTCGCATACAGGGCAATTTGCACACGGGAGAATTCGCGTTGGCACACGTCAGACTATATCGGTGCATATCGCGGTTTAGATTTATAACGAGTTGTGCAAGCGCAATTGTTTATGCATATCGGCTGTTTTCTTTTTTTTCAAGGTTCGACTTGATGTACGGTGTGACAGCATCCGAAAAATTTCACATCCTGCCACCAGTTGCTTTGTTGCACGGTATGCTTGATGGACAAAGGGACGAAATCTTGCGAGACCACGCCAAAGTAAATTTGCTTATTTTGCGAACTGTGCTTCCCTCTCTAGAATTTCGAGTTCCTGGGTTCCTTTTTTGGGTTTCTCAATTCCTTTCGTATTTTACTTTCGACATCTACACTCCAGTTCTGGATCTTTAGAGATTGCTTTAACACCTCATTTGTAACTTCTGGATCCAATTGTGTACGATAAATGAACACCACAATAGTAGTCGCGCACTAAAGGATGAGCTTGTATTGCCAGAACTGGGGACGTTTCCACGTATCTTTGGAATCTTGAAACACGACATTTCTCTATCGAGAACGTGTCCTCAGGCGACGCACGAGCTGGAGCCGGACCTGATACTGTCGAAAGTGCTGGAGCAATACGGCGATTTTTCGAGCGGATTCACGAACGACTACGCCACGAAGAATCGGGACATGGTGCTGGAGGCGCTATCCGACAGCGGCACCGTGGCGCCGTTAATAATGACTGCCAATTTGCATTCAAGGGCGAACCCGAAGAGCTACATGTACGTCTTCTCGCATCCGAAAGCTATGCAAGACTATTCTGGCGTAAGTAGGTCTCCGATACAACGAAGATCGATTATCGCGCGACTCAGACGCCTCTCGACAAAGCGGAACCCGACATGGCACGAGAAAAATGTTGCGCGGCGCGTCAATGGGCGGGGGAAGGGTATATAAAGGAGAAGAAGAGGAAGAAGCAGGAAGAGAGGAGCGGACGGGCGGGGATGATGGGTTAAAGCGCGCTTCCTTCAACGCTCCAGTTTGTGTAGCTTCATGCAACGTCGTTGTTATTCTCTGATGCGTCGCTTCCGAACGGAACGCATTTTTAACAGCCGCGCTTTAATCTCGGAATAGGAAATCCGCTGGCTCCCATTCGCGAGTCGTGCCGGGACAGACGGGGGCCGTGCTGATTTTCGCGCGCTAATTTTAAATTTGCTTGAAATTTCATTTGACGATTCGCGGAAATCCTTCGTGCCGAAACGTTTAACGACAGCTTGCAATTAAAGCTCCTGACGGGAAATCGACGCCCAAATTGGCCGATAAACGGCTACGCGAGAGCGAAATTTTTGGTTGGTCCACAGTCTGCACATATCTGTCCGTAACCCTTGGTTTCTTAGGTCGGAGGAAGGGACAAGAGTTGTGACCCAGTAGCGGCCATTGTTTTCACACACAGTTGCCGGGAGAAAAATCTAGGCTGCGAACCCATTTGGATTTCGGCCAACTATTTTTATCGTTATTGCGTGCGTGCGCGCGCGCGCCAGCAACAAACTCGTCATGCGGCATAACCGAGAATATCGCTAAATTGAATGCATCCCCGCGTACGACGCCGTCGCCGCGTCAACAAGGATATTAGATTCAAAATCTGCAAATGGCGACTCTCAGTGTACATCATTTCCACGTCAAGTTGCATCTCTTTCTCCCTTTTCGTCTCTCCGCCTCTCCCCATCTCTCGGCCTTCCTCTTCTCATTCTCTTTCTCGTTTCCTCTTCCTCGCTTTCGCGTGCATGCGACGAACGAATTCGATGAATTTTAATTTCCACCCACCCTCGTAAATTCCCTCCTTTTATTGAACTTTACAAATTGACGCATTTGTAAATACGCTCGGTTTATCGCGCTAAAAATAATTATAACTGTGATAAATCTGAGAATTCGCGCTCAGGAAAATTCATTCGCAAATTGTTGGCGGATTTGATGACGTGGGCCGGCTTGCAATTAAACGCCAAATCAAATTCGGTCTAACGAGGTGATGCAATTGCAAAGTAATACGGAACAGACTAGAAGTTTACAGTCGCTTCATAATTAAGAATCCAGGATTCTGAACTTTCCGAAAACAGCCCGGAACAATCCACTTTGTTTTTCTCGTTAAAAGTATGCGAATATTCTGACTCAATGTGGAGGTAGCCAGTGCAATTACGTGTCAAAACTAGAAAATATAACAAATATTGAATAAGTATACATCAAATAAATTCCAGTAGAAGATAGAGACGAGATGTTAGTCGGAAATATTAGAATAATGACGTTGGAAGCCGGAGCGAGAGAAGACGGAGAGTGAAACGTTGAGGGTAGGGGAGGGGGAGGTAACAATCCGAGTTTCGATATTCCCAAGTTATGCAAATGACACGGAGATGTCGATAAAATCCGCGCATCGGTATAAAAGCACATCCAGTGATCTCGTTATGTTGCAGCAACAACATCTACGTACCGTGCATGGCGAAGAGCTACCCTACGTATTGGGTGATCCGCTGGACAACGACTCACGGGGTCGATATAGTACGAGGGAAACGCTATTTTCGGAAGCGATTATGAACTGGTGGTGCAGCTTCGCCTACATCGGGTGAGTTGCTGAAAAGGAGGCTCTTGGCGATTCTCGTGTAATGCACTGACCGGACGATTTTAAATGGAGGACTAAAAATCTCAAATATGTATAAAAAAAGGCTCAATAGAAATCATTCAAATAGATTTACATGACGGTTTTGCAATTAAAACTGAGAGTTCTCTAATTGTTTTTCAAGATTTCCACGGGTGAATGAGGAAAATTCTATTTTTTCATTAACTCGAGAAACTGAATTTCTACCTTGCTACAACTAAAATGGAAACTCTCTGCGCTGAATACAAATAATAACGTAAATTAAGAAACTTTCTTAATTTGAGGGTCTTATTTGGGACTTGGCAAACAGGAAATTAATTCGTAGGTACGTTTCTTGCTCGCATTGTTTTCATCTTTACATCCCGCATCTCATTCGCGAATTGTCAATTGCAAAGTATAAATAAAATTTACATAATCGCCGGTGCGGGCTTGACAAGGAAAAACATATAAATAAGCGAATATACATCGGAATATAACGATCGCGGTGCACACACATTAAAGTTGAATTAAAGTTGATATGAAAAGTTGAGTACACGGGCGGCGGCAACTACGTAGGAACAATCGCATTTAATAACAAGTGGCGAACAATTGTTGTTGGGCATTGACGCGAAAATTCATAGTTACTAAAGTTGGACTCTGCGTCGGAGTGACGTTACTGGAAACACACGTATCCGGAAACGTGATTTTCAATTAACTAAACGGCCAGCCGTTTAATCAAGTCCGACGATAATACACCTTCTTCGTTGCACATTTCAACGCGAGTGAACTTGCTAAACATGTCAATCTCAAAATGAGCAGTTTATGTCTGTCGAAATGAAAGATGAATCGATCCGGAAGTGGAAATGAAAACAAAATGACGCGCTCCACAACTATTTGCACGCATTCGGAGTCACCGTGTAAAGAGCAGGCGAAATTTCGGAAGAAATAAATTTTCATCCGACGATTAAAATCAATTTGTGCAACTTATTCAAAGTCGATTACAGCTGGCGGCATAAAGAACGGATTCGATAATTTGGATAAGTGAACACCCGAGCGTGAATAAATTCGCGACGCCATTTAGAAACGACGCGTTTATGCTGTTTTTAACTGACACACCAGAGCAGACATTGTTATCCTAAACGCTGGAATACTACGTTTTAATAATTAAACATAATAATGTCGGGGGAGAGAATACAAAAGAGCACATTTGCCGACTACGACATAATTTAATTCTTCATCATAAATAAACAGAGACGCGCAGAATTTATGTACGTCGCCGGATAGTTCATCATAAATTCTCGTTAAAATAAGTTGCCACATTTTTTTACCTCACAGTTTGTTTACACGCACGCGCGTTTCTGTGTGTGTGCGCGCTCGGCTTTCAGTCTTGAATTAACTCGGCGCAATTTGACGCTTGTTATGCTGATGCTCGATATTGTCGAATTAACGATCCGGCGAATCGGCCGTTTTAATTCGCACGATGAAAGCAGATTACCTACCGCGCCCCAGATTATTTCGACATTTCGTTTCGCCCGACAAAACATTCCATTTTATATGGCCGAGCGAGCCCGGTGTTCCCGCGCTATAAAACCGCGTTTTGTTTAAATCAAAGGAGATCGAATTTATAATTATATTGAAAATTTATAGAGACTCCGCGGCATTTAGATTGTAGCTTTTGAACATTCGCCCGACCAATTTAAAAATGTTTATTCGCGACAAAGTAACATTAGAATTTGCGTTGTCGCTAGCAACACAAAACTTCGTTTGCTTTAACAAACTGATTTAATTTCTATCGGAATTGTTCAGTGACTCGTATATTTATCTGCTAGGGAAATATTATCGCGCACACACACAATGTTTAAACCCATTTACACTAGATCATGAAACTTTTAGTAACTTTAGCATAAAATATCCCGGAATTGGGAGTGCATTAAAATGTTGCACACGGCTCGTTGAATTTGCCTCCATGAAAAAAAGCTGGGAATTTTTGGATTCCCGGTTACATTAAAAATTCATTACGCTATTGCCGGGCGCTGCGTTCTGCAACGCAGTCGCGCAACTTTTTGGTCAAATACCGCCTTTGAGAGACCAGGCCGATCTCGTCGATGCATCGACGGTTCGACTGGAGCATGCATATGCATCACTGCGGGACGACAGAACTCAGAGAGAACTGGGTCGGCGCAATTAAGCAAAACAAAGGTATTTAGCAGTAAATGTCGTGCGTTTGTAAGCGCCGCACAGCCGATCGATATTTTGTGCGTTACCGTATCTACTGTAAGGGCGCGTCTCCCATGACCGGGATGAACGACACGCAGCATCTGCACCGAAACGCGATCGGCGATAACGAATGATGGAACACGAGCGTTTTTTCCCCCCTTTCCTCCCTTCACTCTCTTTCTCTTTTTTTTTCCATCACACGCTACGTGAACTCCGTTGCCACGCTAGATCGATCGAATCTGTCGCGTTCATGCGCAACTCGTCGTTAAAAGAACATTTTCCCCACCGATGTTGAAGTCGCCGATGAATAAGGACAAATGGTGCCTTCCAAATTAGCGAAAGTTTCCGGCTGAAAGGGCACGGCGGATTACAATGTTAAGGTCTGGTATATTAGATTAATGCGCGAAGTTTCGTCGAAGCGCGCGCGCGAGATCCCAGCCACACCTCGCACAGATCTGGATCTTAATTACGCGGAGGACGGTATGCTGGTCGCCGATAAGCCGAGATGTTTCGGGACTTTGAATTTTCCGCGGGGAGAAGAGAAGATCTCGGACCTAATCGCACGACAATTTGCCGTAACAAGCGGGACGAAAAGGCGCACGGTAATCCCCCGATTCGCGAAACCGCCCGATATCTTCTTTCTCCATATCATTCCAATTGCCTGACGACTTTAATCCGCCTCGTATAGTCCGACAAAGGATATTGGGCGTTTCGACCGCCACATTAATCATTCGCGAGCACTCAGTAAAGAAAACACTCGAATCCCTCAGGAACCCCAACGTCGCCAAGCGATATCCCTACTTGACTGACGGGTCCATGGAATGGGGTCAGTACGACATCGACTGGCCGGAATACGATCCCGTCAATCAGACATACTTCAACCTAAGTAAGTCCGCAAAAATTTCAACGCTTTGGCAGCTTAAAACTTTGCGATAAAATTATGAAATTTGCAGAACGCGAGTTTTACTCTGTTGGAGCTAACGCTTCTTCCTTTCATGCAATAGTAAAGCAATAGTAACGATGTAAAATGGTATGGAATGCAAGGAATGGAAGGAGTCATGTTAATTAACATTTAAATTCCAATTTAATAGCAAAGTTATCAACAGTTACTCTATTCTGAAACTATTACTATTCCAATAGTAAAACTTTGTCATCTAGATATTATTGAATGTATAGCAATTACGTGAGTGCTAGGAAAATTACATCAAAATTCAAATTAAACTTCGAACATTAATCTTAGTCGGCTACATGAGCGACACATATAGGTTTTTTAAACTTGGAAATTAATTATTTAAATTTGGAAGCTTCGGATAAAGATATATTTTCATCGATTGACAATTGTCCGAGTTAATTGCAAAAATACACTGCGAGAGAAAAAATATCTAGAAAATAAAAATATTTATTCGGCGAATACTATATTTGCTCAAATCTAAATTCTTCCGTTTAAATAGAATACACACAATTGCTTTCATGAAAAGCTGAAATTTCAAAATATATGTTTGCTCATTTGAAAAGATACTTCCATATTAAATATGTATAAGTAAACATGTCATCAGTAACCATCGTGTTTTACTTCCAAAATATTTCCCCTCTCACAGTGTAAAAGAAAGTAACAATCGAGTCGTGAAAATATCAAATCGTAAGCTTCCATTTGCTGAGAAACGTCCTCCTCGCGCTCGCTGATCACTATTGTCTCAATTTACGAGAAATTGGTTCATATGTTAGAAATTATGTGACCTGCGGTTTACTTGGAAGCAATATCTTCCCTTGCATACAGCAATACCGCCCAACATAGGTGTGCACTATCGGTCAGCGGATATGCAGTTCTGGAATGAGGACTTACCCAATCTGCTCAGGCACCCGAATAAAGAAATGTCGGGCCTGCCACGACCGAGAGGACCGCGACCGCAGATTCTTGATTTCGCCGATGGGATTGGCAAATATGCTAACGGGAGTAGCCGAAAGTACGAAACTTACGGCGGCAGGTCGGTAATAAGAACGACTAACTAATTTCATGCGTTACTCGCGCAGTCGAAACTCCTGCACGATGCTCAGTTATCAATGGCATTGCTGTAGTTCGTAGTTGAGGATCCAACGGGGAGGGTGCTCTGGCAATTGTATAAATTTATGCTAAGTACAATTTGGGAAAATTATTTTGCGGAAACTTGGGATAGCGCCTTTGTGGGAGATATTTTGGCTCGTATGCTAATTTACACTCTGCTCTGCATGCGTCGCACGTCAGGTTACAGTTATATTTTACGAGGGCTGTATTTTATTAGCGCAGTCGTTCGCGTGCTTTTATTGATTGCGCGCGTTGTGCAAAACACTCTCCTAACAGACACACAACTCCATCGAGCGTGACGGATTCTAGTACGGAAAAATCACCATTTTCGATTGTGGCAACGACGAGCAGCGGCGCAACGGCGGACGAGGTGGCCACGATGGAGCCGAGCACGCTGAACTCGTCGCTGATGATCATGGTGTTCACATTCGTGGTGGTGTTCATATTAATAAACGTCACCGTCGTCTCCCTGTACATCTACCATAAGAGGCAGAACATGAAGGAGAAGGAGAAGTCGTTGAAGCGACGATTCAGCGAGAAGAAGGACGACTCGGCCAAGAGGTCGAAAGTCGACAAACACGAGAATTGCGGCCAGATAGGCTACAAGAGCGACAGCAAGCCAGATTTGAACGACGTGATAAAGAACGACAAGGCCTACGACAATAACTCCAACTTCGGCCGAAGATCGAAACTGTCGAGACAAAACTCCAGCTCAACCATCGACACCCACATCAAAGTCAGAGAGTGGATTCAACAGGAAATTGTGCATAGGTCAGTAAAATTCTGTTCGATGTAATGAGTTGACTTTAATATCCCCTTTGACCCAGGAATATCGCCGAAGCTGATGCGAGATATACCCGTGAATGTGATATTCTTGCTCGAGCTTCAATTTCCACGCGCGCTTTTTCGTCGAATTAAATTATTCATAATTCATTAAATACGAGTAAATATTGCAAAACTGTCGATAATACTAATTGAAATTCGATGCGTTTTATTTAGAGGGATATTGTAACCGTCGTACTCTTTAATTCCGGATTTCGGTCTGTTTTACTTTTGATAAAACTTCTTTATCACGTAATTAATTACGTGAAAACGCGCGCGTTTTTTAGATTATTTATGGGATACCAAAGCAAAGGCAATGTCAAAGATATTATTTTGGTGATTTTAATATCGAACGGCACAAAGCATATTCACGTATTTAAAGGGACGAAATAAACGGTTCGGACACGATTCAGAGACATTTTATTAAGTTTCTTCTCATTCCTCGATGCTATTCCGTTGTGCACTACGGCGGTCAACGTTTTGGACTTTATTCCTACGTCTTTCCTAATTGCAAAGAGCCGAAGACACTCGGAGAACGCTTACCCTCGCAAATTTGTCGATCGCGGCGAGGTTTGGGCGACCCAGTAATCCAATTAGGGGTTTCGCTTAAAGAGTGGTTGCTTTGAGACGTGCCTCGTATCACTCAAATCAGAGAATTCAGTTCTCTTTTTCTCTTTCCTCCTCGAATATTTCGTAAGATGTATTGACTCACGGAAAAGGTTGCTAAGTGCCGTCCCACAAAGTTAATTAAACTCGTTAGAGTGCAACTGCACTCTTGTCTTTCAACGAAAAATATGCCAGCCACAGATTGTCAAGTGGATTCTGTACGTTGGCACGCTCTTTACCGGAAAAAGAGTAGAAATTTAAAAAATATAATTCGAGAAAGATCTTACGCGTTCACATAATGATAAATGCTTGTCCAAAAATTCGTCACCTTCGTAAACAGCGTATTGTCTTTTTTGTTTTATTTATTTTTTAAATAATTCTATTTATCTTCAAATCCCCAAGTGGAGAGTACCTCTGTAAGTTATTAAATGGCCTAGATCCACTTTATGATTACATTGCAATATATGCATACGCTGCAACATGCATTATTTGTCGGTCTCTTTATGTAACTATAACATGTTGTGGCGCATTATAAAATCATGTACACCAAGTTTGTTTAATTATAAATATGCATTATAAATGCCGTGTAAATAGGTGAATGTGTACGTCCATTAAACAAATGCATTTGACATCATTGCATTTTTTTTCCTTTTTGGAGTAAAGCGTGGCTGTTTCAAGGTGATTAATTAGTCCGTGGGACGATGATAAAAATGCAATCGTTATTATCACCGGTCGTTATCGAGTCGCGAAATTAATATATATCCTTCATTTGCGAAATACGTGAAATGCTTCATACAAACTGAAGCAAGCAATAACCGACTGGTCATTATAATTATTAGCGACATTAATGGTGTCTATTTCTGAATTTTGCTCACAATAGTATCACTTGACTGGCCAATGAACTTGTTCCACGGCCAGAATACACATCACTTGACGTATATCATGATATTAATGCACATTTTCATCCAAAATTATTCAAACACAAAGTTCTCTCGAGGAACATCTGTGAGATCAATCAGGATTTTATCTTTCAATTTCGCTGTGCCTGTATAGATGCTCGCCGAGGTTCCTGCGTAAAACGCGAGAGACGCTGCAGAAGGAACATCAGGAGAAGCTGAGCAAGCAGCAGCAAGAAGAGAAGCAACGTATGGAGCAAGAGGCGTTAAAAGAAAGGAAGGACGAGCCGATCTACGAAGAAAGCCCGGCACTGGTGGTGCGTCCTGGAAAGAAATCAAAGCTGCCTAAGGTCTCCGTGGCCATCGACGCCACGCCAGCGACCAGGACAGAGTCCATTTTGAACCAAGTGCCCATCGAACTAACGAAAAGCATCGAGATGGCGAACGAATACGAGCAGGCCTTCAACCTGGATCAACTAATGGCTCCTCAGGTGGTCGTCATAGAGCATCATCACTCCAGGAGCGATCCTCTGCCGATGGAGACCGTCCTGAAGACGATGAAGCCAAACTTCTCCACTCCTAGGATCTATGAGTCGGATTCGGGAAGCGCGAGCAGTCTGTACGCTAAGATCAACCCGAAACTAAAGTCACGTCTACCTCGACCTGGTATAGGAACAGGCACGGAAGTGCCGTTGTCCGAGCAATCGAAATATGAAAACCCTTTCGACGAGGAAATCTACATGAAGACCGGGACGATCCTAACGACTTTTGGGACGGGCGACGTGAACGTCACGTGCCGAGAACCGACTGTGGAGAGGGAATGCATCAGCCCGGAGGAGGCTCTGAAGACTATCAAACGGCGAAACTATCCGAAGGTATTGCCGGATATCGAGAAGAGACGATCACTACCTGCACCCAGCAGCCTTTTCGTGCCAAAGCAGCACGCGGGCTTATTGAAGGACTACAAAAACGGGAATCGAGCGAATTTGTCGTCGAGTCAGCCGCCGTTACCACCCCCGCGGATATTCGGGCCGTCCAAGAGCCTAGAGAAGAGCACTTTCTTCGCGGAAGAGAATGAGAATCAGTACGAGGGCGAGCCGATCACGACGAACCTGCACGTAGGTCCCTTACTGAGAAGACAAGACTCCACCAGGAACAATTCCGACCCGAGCATAATAGATTCTTTAGAAGGAAATAGGGCTGTCCAGGCCGGCGGCAGCGTGGACACCATTTACGCTAATCCAAGATGTCCGCTCCACGGAGATCCCTTCCCGCCGACCTCGCAGAGCGTCGACGAATATATCGGCAAGCCCGGCGGGTTTCTTGAGACGGGCAACCCCAATTGGTACAAGCCTAGCGAATCGCCAATCGCAGCGATGGCATCAGCCACTTCAGAGCCGCAAATCAATCGAGACGAGAGACAGCTGATAGTACCAGAAGTCGGGCTGCCGACGATGGAACCAAAGATTGTGATCACGCCGAGAGTGATTAATCCTTGTCAGACTAATCAGAAACCGAGTCTATCAACGCGGCCCGAAGACAAGCTTGATCACGAGGCAAAGACGTCCGCTGAGCCAAGACGAAATGAGGGATCGTCGGAGGGCTTGGACAGTTCCGGCGGTTCGTCGGTCAGGGAGACGGAGAGGAGGGAACCGCGGATCATCATCACGGCGCGGGAACCGAAGAACTGCGCCCCGGTGAGCAGTCTGAAGCAGCCCAAGATCATCATAAAGCCGACGGCGACTCTGCCGAGGAACAGGGATCAGAGGAATATACCGAAGGTGTCAGCCATACCAACGCCGGAACAGCAGAATTGCCAGAACAGCGAGCGGGACCGGGCGCTGGAACTAAGGGAGAAGCCGCTCCTGAGGGAGAAGCCGAGGGTTACGAGGATCCCGTCGTTTTCGCGCAAGAGGGAGGAGCCCGGGATTGAAAAGCCATCGTACGTAGAGAAGACGGAAATCGTGCAGAGAGTGGAGGCGGCGCCCAGTAAAATCACGAACACGCCATCGACATCCGATGCCAAGTCGGGCATACCGACGCCAACGGCAACGACGACGACGGCAACGACGGCCACGGCGACGGCCACAGCGACGACGATGACAACGTCGACGACGACGTCGACGACGACGTCGACGCCGACGACGACAACGACAACAACGACGATGATGTCGAAGAGCGAGAAGTCTGCCAGCACGGATTCCTCGTCCGCCAGCAACGGGAATTCCAGCAACTCGAATACCGGTACGATCAAACGCAAGCCGACGAGCAAGAAATAATTGGCTCGGGCCACATGTTACGTTTCATACTGTTTTGCGAATGTACACGGTTAGAGATGCTCGGTGTCTCTCTACCCGTCCCGGCCAAGCGTTGATGCGAGTCTCCCGGTGGCTCTCGCGAAATCGATAGCCTTCCGGTGAATTCTGGGGAACTACGGCTACTCGGTACATAGTTACCAATTAATGAAATATTATTTCCGCATATTGCGAACTGCGGCGCCGTACACGTTGCGAGGTTTTTCCGTGTACACGTGGGGAGTAACAGAGCGGAAAGGCATAATAACGGTATTGTTATTTATGTTAACGATACATGGGATCTTGTAGTAGCATTTCTATATAGTATTTCTACTTGGGATTCTGATGAAATGTTACGGGACGAATTTCAATGCTTGAAGGATGTCGATGTGAATCTACTTTCACGAGGAATTTCCCTGAAAACTGAAAACTGCAATCGTGCACCTACAATCGAAAATCCTTCATTACCATTCGAACGATAAATTCCTTTCTACGTGAAGCTCTCCTCGTCCAGATGGCATAGTAATACGTCAGGCGCGATAGAACCATTTTCTTTAGAATTAGTATTATTTATTACTGTCTCCTAGCTGTACGTTGCAATAACATGCAATAACAAGTAAATTGCATTTTAACGACTTTAGCTCTGCTGCAAAACTTCTGTCGTTATTTTTACCACTACGTTATATTATATTTTTCCACAACTAATTAAGACTATACGAGTACAATGTAGCTATACATTAAATGTAAATATATATGATAATAATTGTCGACACGTTTATGACATTTTCAAGAGTGTCAATATCATTACGGCTGAATTAAGGCCGTGAAGTAAACCGTATTACATGTTTATGGACCGTCAACACTGCTCTCGTGAGTGCCGTCGATTGCTTGTACGTTTTTAGACACTGTAGACACGACCAGTTAAACGTTATCGAGTAGTTGGAAGTCGATAATTTCTAACGGCGCCTGCGCTTTTTTACGCGTGTATCTTTATACGAAAATGAGAATAAACGTTTTTCATACTTTTCCAGCAGAAAATCCGGGATGAAAAAGTCCAACCCACTATTTATCATATCACACTTCTCCCTTCTCCTTTTCCTCTCCTTGCCCACCTCCTCCTATATGTAAACGCTGCATCTTGTATCTCGTGACTTTACACGCGTTCCTGTAAACTTTATTATTAAGTGAAGCGAGGTCTATAAGTCGTGTGCAGGTGCAGCGTAGAACGGCAAGGGGAGTCGGGACAAAGTGGTCGGCGAGTTCTCACTTATATTACTGGCGGATCGAATTGATTTTCAAAGTTCGCGCGGTAATGGGATTCCCTTCGTCTGTAACCGCCGTCACGCGGAAAGGAAAAGGCCATTTTTACACTGGCCCCTTCTCTCACGTTCCAATCAGTCTATCGCTATATCCTTCCCTCCGTCTCTCTCGCTTTGCTTTCCTTGTGTTTTCATTTCATCTCGTTCTACGTCAGCCGATCCGACCGACAGAGTCGCTCTGATCAGGACTAAGAAAGCAAAGAAAGATGGGACGTGTGTTTTGATGGTTTATAAAATTTTCATTTCGCGGGTTTTTTGATAAAATCGGAGCCTTCTCATGCGGAAAACGTCAATAGGTAGACAGCGTATTATTATGACTGAAACGACATTAGTACGTTAATTGCTAAATACAAGATAATTCACATTAGTTTCCTTTTTATTTTTTTTATGGATAATAAATATATTTATTATCCATATATAAATATAAATATATTTACTAAATAATAAATACTTGATTATAGCACATTAAGTTTAATCAATTATATTAAGTATTGTATATTAATATTAATATATTATTAGTAATAATATATATTAATATTATTACTATATAAAAAAATTAATACTATTATTAATAATATTATTACTATATAAAAATACTATACTATACTATTATTAATAATATTATTACTATATAAAAAAATTAATTTTATTAATATTAATATAATTAATTATATTAATAGATTAAAATAACACGCTGGTCTTAAAATTGTGTCGGGAACAATGTTCCCCAATGTTACCGTGGCAGCACGGAGAGACTTTTATAATATCACTATAGAATTATACTTCAGAAACTGAAACGTGCTATTGAAAAATTTCTAGTGATATCTACTATGTCCCTTAGCAAGACAGACCGACAAGTCTATTTAGATCCTACTAAAAATATAATAGATTTTGAAAAGAATTATAAGCTTACTCGAAAATATTTCTCGCAGAGAGATGTACTTTCTACTCAAGCGCATAGATTCTTCAATCCCTCAATCTCTACAGATATAACAAGAAACTATAATATTCTCTCCATGCATTATGTGTCTTCAAATGTCGGGATGGATGACAAGAGACATCGTTTCGACGTCTATGTTATGATTAAAGCTAGCATTACATCGACCAAGGATCTCACCGTTTCAAACTGTTGAACACGTCATAGAGTTTGGATCTTGGTGGATATAATTTGTGTGGGAAAAGCCCATCAACTCGGCGGGCTGAATCGCAAGACACGTGCAATATGATAACTCGGTCGTGTCCTTGGAGTTAGTATCGCCAAGTTAGCGTTTAGCTGCCAGTGTTGTCCTCTACCTTATGTGACAGCGCGTAACCGGCACACATAGTCATCCACCGCGCACGACGAATGGGGAATCCTCGGCGCGTCGCGCGCTCTCCCTGACAGGTGTGTAGCGCCGCGTGACTCATTGTCGGTATAATATACTATCAGAAGTAACGGAGGGAGACAAAAGCCGGATTCTGTCTTTGTAGACTCGCTCCTCGAGCCGCTCGCTCGAGATTTCCTCAGAAATAGGACCTTCGTAAGGACTGATTTCACCAGAAGTCGGATCTTTCGCGAATTTATTTCACGAGTAATCAAAATGATCGCTCTCAAATCGAACATAGTAAACAAGGTTCTTTGTAATTCGTTCAAATTATTAAACGACAAGCAGTGTTGATAAATTTAATTGAACACAGCTAAATAATCAGCGAACGCAAATATTCTGTCGAAATTGGTCGAAAATAAAATAAACAATATGAAATCTGATTAGTCATGTACCTGCATCTAAAGCTGAATGTCATGCATTTTGCGATTATCACATACGCATTTGATTAACGATCGTACGGCGAATCGAATTGACGTCGAGATTATAGCGTTAAATTATGGCGCCTTAAGCTTTCCTGGTTAAATTTCATAGGTTTGCAATCAGGCGGACACCGATGAGAGGGATAATTTCCCTGTCGTGATTATCTACGGCACGCACGTATAATTATCGCAGTGATAATCAGCGATTAAGCACGAACCCGACCGGCAACCTCATTATTATGCCCGGGATAGCGTCCGAGGCGGTGCGAATGCATACGTACATAATTTTGTCTTTCGCGTCTACCAATTAATAAATTTCCAGCGGCTGGCCGCCCGCGGGACAAGGTCGCTTCGTCTATTTCCACTGGCAGCCATTGTTTCCAAGACAATGCACCAGCTACTTGGCAGTTAGAATACATTGTGTTACCCGAGAGGTGGTCGCTGAATGCGATGTCGGATTAATTAGATTTCGAAACGAGTGCAAGAGGTGACTCCGAGTAACTGCGCTCTCTACTAAAGACGACGCATCAGCAATCGTCAAGTTATTCCCCGAGCAACTGAAGAATAGCTGCGCTCAAAAAGAATGCCGACGACTTTACAAGAATTAAAGCGCAGGGAGAAGTCTCCGGCTAAATGAAGATACAGACGGTTGCAAGATTTCGCGTATCAGAAAGTTGAAAAGTCAGAGATTGGAGAGGAGCCGAAGAGAAAAGAAAAGGTTCGAGGAAAATTCTCGAGGAAGACATGAAGGACGAGAAACACAGGCAGCTAAAGAAGACATCTCTAAATAGAAGCTTAATCTATCTTACCTCGCGAAATGGCTCTCTGATTCACGTTGGAAACAATTCCAACGTCTGTACCTCGCCGTGTTTGACGACCGCCGGACGTTTATTAAGTTTTTTATCAGATGGCTCCGCGCGTTCTCTGCGCCGTCCCCTCTCCCATTGAAAGTGTTTAATTGGCTCCTCCTTTTGCGCCATCCAGATGAGAATCAGTTAAGTTTGTTGTTTTAAATAATTGACGTAGAAATATCCGGGCAAGTTACACTCAATGAGCACGTCGAGATTTGCTTTCTGTTAATCCTTGGAAATTTCGGACTTTCGAATTCTCCGCTCGCGCGTGTTCTCAAGTTCGCGAAATTATAATTGTACCTTAACGTCTGGAAATTAAAATGCTCGGCGGAATATTGCGCAAGTTATTGAATCGACTGTTCAGAATTCTTCCAAGAACTGCCATCCGAGTTACACAGCGCGGTTAAAAAGAGGACAACGTTTCCCAGCGTAACTAACCGGGAACCAACACAGGCTCAATAATTTCTTATTAAGAAAGTTACGAAGGATAACTTCATTAGTGTTTGTACCTGTTCGACAGACGCTAGGGGCGATCGAAGTTGAAAATTGTCCGTCGTCGCGGCAACACTCAATGACAACTCGCGACAAACCAAATCCAATAAAAAGGTGCACGTGTACCATAATGTCGCGACGGGGAGATCGATTTTTATCGCTTGACGGCACAATTTCCCGCATTATATGCAAATTGACATTGTCAATACGTACTAACAGCTGCGAATAAGTAAGTCTGGAATCCCCGATATGTCCAGAGTCTCGTAAATCCTCCAAGATCTTTTTGCACGACGAGGATATTTTTGAAACTCTCTCGAATCTATTACTTTTCCAATCTTCTAATTTTGTCTCAATACGATATATTCGCAAGATTCAGAAGTCTAAAATTTCCAAGGATTAATGGAAAGTAAATTTCGATGTGTTTTTATTGCGCTTTTTTCTTTTTCGAGTGCTGCTGCGTTAATAATTTCGCGAATAAATACATTCGACTTTTATTCCTCGAGTGTTGAATTTTTAGATTCAATATGTAAGTCTTTTTTTGCTTACACATTACGATCGCATTCAAGTTTACACACACATCTCAGTGATTCTCGCGATTTTCATACCGCGGAACAATTCCTGTAATTAAAGGAGAAAGAGACGAAGCGCGCGCTTGGCAAACAAAGGTTTCTCTTCCGAGTGTTGCTGATGCTTTAATTAATTAATGCATCAATAATTACATTCAATTTTTATTCCTCGAGTGATGGATTTTTAGATTCAACATGTAAGTCGTTTTTGCTTATATATTGCAAGTGTATTGAAATTTATGCACGCATCGCAATTTTTATATCGCGGGGAACGATTCCTACAATTAAAAGAGAAAAAGATAAAGCTTTACAGCAAACAAGTTTCTCTTTCGAGTGTTCCCGAATCAAAATTTTGATTCTACTTTCAACCTTACTACTTTCCATTCAATATCTATTATGATACTGTATCAATCTATTTTGATTTTATTTAACTTGCCCGAGTTAAAATTTTCATCCTACTTTCAGCCTCAAAATTCGGTTCAATACTATTTTGATATTCTGAAGCCTATATACAACCTATTTTTGACGCTAAAGAAGATAAAAAGGGAAATTTCGGAAATTTTATCATCATACTCAAAGTATGAGTAAATTGTATCGTTAGAATTAAACCTATTTTGCTAATTTAGCTCCAATTGTATTGTAGAATTCAAAGTTTAACATAGGATCAAAATTTTGCCACATTGATTATTTAATATTTTCTCTCTCTCTCTCTCGTAATTATACTCGATTTCTCGAGTCTTGGATTTTTGGATGCAACATGTCAGTTGTTTTCGCTTAAACACTGCAACTGCATCAAAGTTTATGGACGCATCGCAATGTGAAATCGTAATTTTTATATGGCAATTCTTACAATTACAGGCGAAAGAGACGAAGCGAGCGCTCGGCAAACAAGTTTCCTTTCCGAATGCTCGCCGGTTCGGCGGTCTTTGTGAATCCGCGTCTCTATCCACGCAGAAAACCGAATCTCGGTTCGTGCCCTTATCCCTTTTTTCCCCTTATTCTATTTTCACTTTGGCAAAAGTAGGAAAGGCAGCGCGAGATGTGCAATTCGGCGTCGCTGCTTACTGCGAGATGCGAATGCGATTTTACCATCGCGTTTGCAGCTCGTTAGAGCGAAAATCCTTCGGCATCGGTCGCTCCGAATTACCCGACAACCCTTTTAGCATGCTTGATGGTGACGTGTGACTCTAAAGTTGATTGGCCGACTGCTCAGCGTGTAAATTGTGCATTAGCATTCACCGATCTCTGTGCTCCGCTCGCCTTGATTCATCAAAAGGGACTTTCAGACTCGCGCGCAATCCAACATTATTCTCGGATTTCGCGCCAAGTGTCGCACAAGTGTAATCTTTGTGCTCCCAGTGTTAGACTGGTCTTGGGCACGACTGATTTATGAGTCGATGTCTCCTAAATATTATTAACGGCGGCGCGAGTCGCGCGATCTTTGAAGTTCCGAAAGTTCTCGCGTTTCGGGCGTCTCTGAAGTTTCGATCCTTTCGCGAGCCGAGCGACTCGTTTAAACTATTGAGGGATCACTTACCGTAGGCCTCGCAGCCTCCCATTATTCACTGCGATCCGATTACGCGGGCTTGGGAGAGTTTCTCGCGGCACATTCTGGATTTTCTCGTTAAGAACATCGACCGAGCTACGGTTTCCGGTTAACCGCCCTCTTCAGACCTGTCTTCAACGTCGTCGCGTCGCGCCGCACCGCGCCGCGCGTCGTCGTCTCGCCGAGCAAATTGAATTTCGTTCTTAGTCATTTCCGCAGTTGAAACCGGCCGAGAGCCGGGTGAGAAGCTGTCCACCCTTCGGTTGACAAAGAGCACGGCTTGGTCCGGCGACGGAGACACGCCGCGGTGAGTCGTTTTCTTTCATGCACTTAGACATCAGTGACGTCTGCATCCTGTCCTCAGAATGCCCAACGGGGCAATTCATCTTCCGGGGGGATAAAGCGGCTTGAAAGCGCCTGAAATGGATTGGAGCCTTGGTACTCGAGCTTTTTAAGAGCTCCGGATTCGTTTAAATTGCCGAGTCGATCGCGTGCTCCCCGGCGTCCTGATAGTCAAATCATCGAATCTGAACGCTTCCTGGACATCTGCTCGGGATGACCATCTCTTCAGAGATATTATTTCAGAGCTCATATTTCTCCCTTGCGTTCTTCTTCATATTCCTGTTCTTCATGGTGTTATTGTATCAGTAGGTACTGAATAATAGCAGGTCGCATTAATAATGTAGAAATGTGTAATGGAATAATATATCGTGACTAATACGTAGTAAATGTTGGCTCTCGGAGCGCGTAATTGTGTGCCTTTACTTGTTTACATTCGTATCATAAACAATGAGCGAAGCATTTTGATATTACTCGAGGGATCGAGACTTTAATAAAACGTATATGAAAATATTCAAGGGCTGACTATCTGAATCAGTTCACCTCCTTCGTGATTTTTCGAGCGCGAGGTCTCCACGATTACAGGAGGATCGCGCGACACATTCTTTTGAGTCTACTCGGACGAACGTCAGTGCAACAGTCACTTTATTATAAATGGCGCATTACACGGGGCACGGTCACACGACGACGTGATATCTGAAAGTCTTCATGCGGCTGAACTTTCGCGGATCCTGGATGGCGATGGAATAAATTTTATTCGCGCGCGCGGAAGAACTCGCGCGGACTCCCGCGGCCGTTAACGAAATCAGTAACGCCGGCGAGAAACTTTTTCGCCGAGCCCTATGTACGTTGAAAAAGTTTCGAACACTCCCGCATGCTGCAGGCGGGACGGGAATCCTGTGATATATCCCGTCAAATTCCGACTACGCGGAATCACAATAGAGGCCGCGGAAAAGGAAGCAGCGAAGTACGGGTATATCATTCAGCCTGCTCCGTTTGCTCCGTCCCAGCCCGCTGAATTACGCCGTAGCACTTTGCTTGGTCCAATGAGGACCAGCGCGAAATCCGTCAAGAACGAGGCCCTGTCTGCCTCACCTGTCCTGCCCGAACGAATTACAGACCGCCTCGCGTATGAACGCCCGACGTTGACGCGGGAAGATTTCCCATGCGCGAAAGCTGGAACGTATCGATTCATCGGACGGAGCCTACGTTTTCTGCCCTCCACGGCAATTTGGATTCCGACAGGCGGCTAGTGATTATGTCTGGGGCAAATTTGATGATTCGGTCGCTGTAATATAATTTGCGTGCCGTGATATCGCGAATTTATTATCGGGGAAAGTGTCACTGGTTGTATATTATAGGTTAGCTGTGAACGCCAGAAATATTATAGGAATCCAAACGGAGGTTGAAAACGACGGATTTTAGCAGTTGAACCGTTAAATTATTGAGTCTGAAAACCGCGCTGTGAAAATTGTTTCATATCTGCATCAGTGAATTTGAGAAATAAATAAATTTATGAGAATTTTTTTGTATATTTTTTTGGACACACTTATACATATTTCTCGCTTTTTAGATATTTCTTCCATCAGTATACGAATTCTCTCGATTTAGAACTGCGGATTTTGAAATTCAACGCCTACAAAGAGGCGTTGAATGTTTGAATTGCGCGATTTTGTATCGTTGAATTTTAGAATCCTCGTGGATCCCTCGATGATGAATAATTTCAGGAGGCTTTCTGTGAGAAATTGCGAAGGAAAGATCCGATTTTAGCGTCTCGGAGTGAAGCTACTCGATGATTTAGTCATCCTCGTATCGCCACTTTGCGCTTGGAAGTTTGCGCCACTTCTCAAAATTTCCTACTACCCATCGCTCGATACTTCAGACGTTTTAAAACTTGCCGCGCAGTTTTCGATCCCTTACATTCTTTTATCGTTCTGATGCACCCTTAAATTTTCACACCCGTCGAAGCGTCAAGTCACGGATATCGAATCGGGCGCGCGCGCGCGCAACGCGCAACGCATCGGACCGCAACATTACAGACGTCCAAAACTACAACGTCAACGGCTGTAAACAACATTGTCCGCTGCAGATGCGACCGAACTTCCATACGTCAAAAAAGTTTCCCGACACTCGGACATTCGCCCGACTCGCCCGTTTAGCGCGACGCAATACCCTTCTTTCCTCGCCATTATTGCAATTTTTGTCAGAGCTTATAAAAATGCTCGCTCAACAAGCTGCTCGTGTGGAAACACGGGCTCGGCAAACACGGGCGCGAAAAACGCAGCGGCTCAAAGAACGAGCGACGAATCTCAGCTCGCAGTGTTCTGGCCGCAAGTGCCGTGCCGAACAATCGGGATTGGCATCTCGGCAATAAAGATGATTTCGTGAACGAGCGAACACGGGCTTTCCATCTTCGGCCGCGGAACTTTGCGCAACGTGCAGATCACCTCTTTCCGCTCGGATAGACCAAGTCGCTATTCACGCGTAAGATTAATTAGCCTCCGAGATCTCGAGCGGCAGAAGATGGTGCAGAATAGCCGGCGCGCAATTGAGCAACCCAATTAGCGGTCTCGGCGCGCAAGACTCAAAAGCTCTCGAGCTCTTGCGGAGCGACGCGAGTTTATTCGGAGCGTTTGGGCTCGCGCGTCTCTCCGAAAGAGGAGGGACATCGATCTGCGAGAGGTGGCCGCCTCGTAAGGAGCGACACACTCCTCGACAGGTCCCTAGGCGACCCTGAAGTCACTGCACAAGGGTCCTTCCGTTGGCAGAACTGAATCGATAGTCGGCTGTCCTTTTCTTCGCGCGTCCCCACGAGTCTGCGCGGCGCGCTTCGACGACGCTCGAGCTTACCAGACATTCCAGCCTGCCAGTCCGGGTTACGCTTGACGACACCTCGATTCTCCGATATCGCAAAATTTCTGATGGCATTCGCGCCGTAATGCGCCGACGAAATTTCGCAGGATAAACTAGCGCGCGAGCGAAATTTCAGCGCGAATTTCAGGTCTATTCAGCGCGCGCTGTTATCGCTCCGAACAGTTATCGCTCCCCTCGCCACGAAGCTCGCAGCACCGATGATAATGCTCACCCGCGGAAAATTAGCGATCATTTTAAAAATATGTATAATATAGAAATTAATCTTAAAGCCCAACAAACGCGCAGCGATCGGCTGAAAGGCTCCCGACTGACCCGTAATTCAGACACAAAGCGAACTATTAAGCTCGCTCCCGACAGGTGTGTAGAGTAGCCGCGCTAGCTTGTCTAGCTTTCGCAGCTTCGCGAGCGAAGTTCGCCCGGCTGACGGCGGCGGCAGCGGCGGTGGCCGCTGCGGCCTTCGCGCAGCATCCAACCCCAAAGTGTAATCCGTGGAATCGACCGTGGCGCGCTCCACGGACTCGATAGTGGAGGCTCTGGCGTCGCGTTGCGCGAGAGCTTGCGGAGCTTTCCATTCCGGTGCCGTAGTCCGTCTCGCGAGCTTCGCGGCGACGTTGGATACGTCGCGTCGGGTATCGCGCCACCCTCCGTCGTCCAAGGGTGGCCCCGCTGCGTCGTTCTCTCTCCTACGGGGTTCGCCCTCGGGGCTCGGAATAATCACGGCGTCGCGCCGCGTCGCGGCGCCACGACGCCGAATGCACGCGCGCGGACGTCTCGTCGCCGGCCCTACGAGGCTCGACGCGCTCTCTCCGGAGACTCGCTTCCGGTAGACGCGCATCGCAACACCGCCGATTCAAACGTTCGGCTACGACGTCCTGGTGGAGATGTGACGTGGTGCTGTATCGTCCGAAGACGACGACGTCGGTGAAACGCGCCGCTCCGGGGAACCGCTCCGGTGATTTACGGCTGGTTAAGAATGTTCGCGAAGCCCGTGCAGCCCGTCGCCGTTGTCCGTGTTGTGTGAGCGAGCGAGACAGACAGACAGCCGGAGCCGTGGATCGAGATATGTCATAATTATTCCGCGGCGGAGGTCGATCCTATCGTACGCGCAAACCTACTGCTCGCGGAAAGGCGAAGCGATAAGGGTGTAAAAATAACAAAAAAGAGAGAAGGAAATTTAAACAACACATGTTTTCGCTGACGAGACCATTTCCATTTGTGTGATTAACAAGAAACGCGTCGAATCAACGTGTCGGTGATATCGGGGATTGTTGAACAAATTTTTCCCCGCTTCCTCCCCGACACACACACACATACATACATGCACACGGGACGAAAAACAAATTAATCGGCTGAAGGAGGATAGAGAACGTTGCGATAAAGAAGATTCGTACACGCCGTGGACTCCTGCAGTGCGCGGGTTGATATCAGAAATTTGCGTGTTAATATCTCGCTCGACTTTCGGCCGTCGCCGTCTCGCTCACGAGACAGGGTGGAATTGCGCGTTTCGCGATTAGTGTGTGTGCGTTTTGCAGTGATCGCCGGAGAAATGTGCCGAGTTCAGTGCGTGAAGTTCTGTCGGTTTCGATCCCATTCAATGGAGTTCCGTTCCCGAATGGTGAGCCTCTAATCATGACAAGCCCTTATCAACCCCTATCTAACGCCCCACGGAATTTCAGTAACACGCTTCGCAAACGATTCTCTATTCGCAATCGGGAAATTATTCTGTCAAATGCACACACGTATTTATTCGTGACCGCAAGAGCGTGTTTTTAGTGAAATTCCCAAAGTGGCGATCCGATCCACCTTCTCGTGTCGCGATCTATCGATCTTTGAATATTGCGATACACAACGAGAGACACAATCTCGGTCTCTGGACGACCTGTGACGCACATTGGACGCAAATTCTCGCAGACAATGATGAGCGAGAGAACTCTGCTCTGAATTTTTGCTTTTTGCTTCAAATTCATCAATGAACTTGAAATAGATATTCTCGTGTTTCTCGAGTGTGTCTCGTGATATGCGATAGGAGATCATTAATGCTCAACTCAAACGGGCACCTCTCGCCGAAAGAAGTGCGGGAGTATCTCGATGCTTCATTTTTGCGCGACAAACGTCCAAATAACGTCAATAGATACCACTGATGGCACAAAAAACGTTTTATAAACGCGCTCCCAGCTTCCGCGAAGACGAGCAACGTCTCGCAGACGACGTTTCAAGTGTTAAGTTACGTTGCGTTGCAGAGTTTGTTGCGTTTCCCCGTCGAATTTCGCCGAGCTGAACGGGGATATCTCCCCGCCAACAATTATCGATGCGTTTATCGAGTCGAAATGAACGAAAGGCGATTTCGACGCTCCCATATCGAATCGTTGCGCGCGGGGTGGAGGGGAGAGAGGGGTTAATCGAGACCTCATCGTTCCGATCTTCCACATCGCGCGGAAACATGGCGGGCGTTCTCGCTCGACAGTGAAATTCCTGTTTTTCCAACGGTAGCCCGCCGCCGCGGGGGTTTCCGCGTTTAAATATTCCCGAAGTATGCAAATGCTGTAAATTCGCTGGAAAATATACCGGTAGCCCGAGAGCCGTGGCCAGGCTATCGAATCGTTATAGATATCGCGAAACGTTGCACACGTGCACGCGAAAATGTATTAACCCCGTGGCTCGCCGATAATTTGCATAAATGGCCGACGGAATTTACGCGCGACCGCCATGTCGCGCGATCCTTGCGCGCGGCAACTTCAAAGCGGATTACAAGTTGCCTGCCGATTTACGCGCTCATTATGCCTTTGTAAGATCCTCGCGGTTAGCTGCATGCCCCGGCATGCTGCGAGAAGTTTCAGACACTTCTGGAATAAACTCCGTCGCGATATATCTTTGGCTTCGGCGGTTGTGCGAAGCACGTAACGCTGTTCAGAGCCCCCGTGAGCATGAGTGTGTGAGTATTTATGTGTATGTGTGTGTGTTTGTGTGTGTGTTTGTGTGTGTGCGTGTGCGCGCGCGCGATCTCTCCAGCACCTGAACATAATTATATGTCCGCGAATGTAATTACATCCAGCCGGAGATGTTTGCAGTGCACTTTGGACTGCAAACAGGACGATGGCGATAATGACGTTGAGGTAATGTGTGGATATTCCGCGATGATGAATGTCATAACAATAAACGCTAGGGTGAAACATCCTAATCACTGACAATCCGTTAATCATTGACACACTTGAGCAAAAATTAACTTTTCTCAAGAGGTTTCTCTTGCGACCAGCATTTGAACAGTTCGCAGTTGAATTTCTGATCCACGCTCTATAATTCAAAAAGAGACTCTCGCAACTAAACTAAAACTGTGAACAACAATCACCATTGATCGCAAAGGAAACCAGATCTTTTCTAGATTGTCAGTGAGCATCAATAACTGGTTGTTTCACTCTATTTGTATCTCAGTTTCTCTCTTTTTCTTGAAACAAAAGACACCTTATTTCGTCCTCATATTGTGAGTTTGAATAAGCTGCAGTCGTAGAGAGAGAAAAAGAGAGAAAGAGAGAGAGACGCACTAGGGAAAATTTTCACAGTTCCATAAGTAAGACAATACGGCCCCCGAATCGAAAACGCCTTCTAAGGGGACATGCATCCAATTTCCCATTCTGTATTTCTTCCGAAAACACGTACCGTGTATTTGTAGCGTATTGGAAAAATAATCCCGTCGCCGTCGACCAGGGGCTGGCGCGAAGAGAGCTCCGAATGCAAATGCGTTTTATTGATAAATGCAGCCGGCTAACAAACACACAACACAACACACGCGCTCGCTCGCGATTCCGATTGAATGAAATTTGTTCTGCTTACGTACATAAGACGCCTGATTTATCTTTCCCGACGCAACGGGCGAAACGCGGATTACGTGCCGTGCATATGTACATTCGGCGTTGCCTCCTCGAGAAATATGCGGCGAGATTCGACAGCGGCTTTAATTCTCCGGGAATAACCGTCGTAAATCAAAACGGCTCTGCCGCGTCTTCGACACGAAACATTTCATTAATACCTTGGGCACGCACCCACGAGATTAGCGCGATGAAGCGCGATCGACAATAAAGGCGCAACATTCTCCACGGCGCGCTATCTTGGCCGTCGCCCATCCGTTCATTCGCACATCGTCGATATTCCGGCGCGTCTTAATCTCTCATCTCTCTCTCCCTTCCGTCTCTTTTCCATACGCGCGCTCTCCGTGACAGTCTCGCGAGGGCTGGGGATTACTCTCGACGGAGCAACTTTCACTAAATGTCGCCGCTCGCGGGATTAGTTCAGACGGCTGGGAACTTATTCGGGGCTGTAAATAAGTTCGTCGATGCACACGCCGGTGGTATGAGCCGGGGTCTTCGGATGTACGATATCCGAGATTGAGGGGCTCATTCATGCCGAATAGGGCGCCCTGAATAGGGCGCTCGCTCTCGGCGACGAGACGAAAGCCGCAAGTTTTGATGAAATGCATTCTGTCCGTTGCAGTTGACGACGTAAGAAGGCCGTGCGGCGAGAGCGTGCGCGAGGTAGCGCCGTGTGGTCTGGCGTTAGAGGCAAGCATACACGAGATATACGGAGAGACGGGGAATCGAGACAGCGCGAAGGGGAGAGAATTCATCCCTTCGTCGGGTTTACTCTCTTCCTCTTTCTCTCCCACGATTCCCTCCTCACTCTCTCCCACGATTCCCTCCTCACTCTCTCCCTCTCCCATCTTTCTCTCTCTTTCTCTTCCTGACTTTACTTCGACTTCATCTCGAGTTGTCCCCGTTTCGCGCCATAATCAGAGTTCAGCCAACTTCGCCTTTCTTCGCTTCTGCCGCAGTCTCCGCGGCCAGACGTATTACTCTACCTCCTCGCCCTCGCCCCGAAGTTTCTTTCCAGCGTGAATAGAATTTTGCCGGTTGAAAAATCAAAGGTTTCAAACAATTCCGAAATTAGAAGCAATTTAGCCGAAGGCAGATGGTTATGCGACCCCAAATGCAGGTACCGATTCAAATTTATTTCGGCGAGTCGCTGAAAGGTCGGGAGGTTTCAAATTCACTTTCGGATCAACTGAACTGTGCACTTGAATTGAACCAGGATCTACATAATTTTCTGTCTTTCTTCGCCTTTAAAATAGACAGCCTTGCTTCAATCTAATTACACTATGTTACATTTTACACTATTGCCGTGAAGAGTCGTTCTTTAGTAAATCAGGTGTGCTTAATACGAATATGACTACGAAAACTGTCCATCATGTTAGATTTTCGAGAAAATAGGAGTTTAAATCCCTCAAAAATGTATTTAATCATTTTCACAAATTCGCAACGCATGAACCAGACATGCCAGCAATCTCGAAACTGATCTGGAATTGATGCTTGAACTTCCGTTTCCATTAAAAAAAATCGAAAGCTTAAAATGTAACTTTGAAGTAGTAGATCTCCCTTACAGGGAATGAAGCAATGTCATAAATTTATACAACAAAATAGCGAAATTATATCTCATACCCGATAAATTTCTGGGTATTTTTAATAAAAAATCACGAAAACTTTTCTATTAAGATCCATTAAATCTCTTTATAACAAAAATATAATTAGAATCCCTTTCTGCAGGATACAAAATTTTTTAATTTCATTCTAGATTGTTTGTGCAATTTCAACCTCCTTCAAGAATAATATTTGTAACATGTATAAATAGGGTATTTTTTCCTACAATCTTATTATTTCTTGAGCCTATCTCAAACAGGAATTTATCCACAAAATTTATTAAATGTGAGTAAAAATTTAGTTATTTTGTTGTATTTTATGACAGTACTTTATTTTTCTATAAGGATGACTTCTACGAAGTTGCATTTTAACTTTCTGACTTTTTAAAATAAAGATAAAGATTCAAGCTTCAATTTCAAATCTTCTAAAAGATGTTGGCACGTTTTGTTGGTATATGTTACCAATTCATAAAAATAATGAAAATGTTTTTGGAGGTTTAAACCCTTATTTTCCTCGGAAACTTAATGTAATAGACAGTTTCTGAGGACACATTCAGAGCAGATCCGATTTACTAAAGAACGGCCTTTAATAAAAAAGTGCAAGAAATTGGATAAAATATATAACAGTGTTATTAGAGTTAAGTGTTGGCTAAACGTATTAACGTTGAAATGAGAATTAGGATCTTAAAGGGAATATACGATCAAATTAGAAATTAATAAAAACATGACGATTAGGCGACTCGAAGAGAACGCGGGAAGTCTGCACAATTTACATTCCTTAAATTGAAAGAATGTGCGTCGAAATGTAAATTATTTTAATATTAAATAACTCCTCTCAAAGTTGCTTGAAACTCAAATACGGGTTGTCTACACGCACCAGATTTTTATTTTTCACTGCGAGGATTACTGGTAAATTTCAAGCTCGTGAAAAGTTCCTTAGAGGAAATTTGCATTTCAGGCTGTATAGATGCTAAGTTTCTTGAAGTGCAGATTTTTAAGATGTCGGGATCTAAATCCTTCGGATTCAACGTATCTTGGAAGAGAATCCTTAAATTCTAAATTCTCTGGACATTGTAGGAACTTAAGTATACAGGATTTATTGCGTCTTAAGATCCTTAAGTCCTCAGTTCTGCGGACGAGGATCAGTTCAC